AAAAAAAAAAAAAAAAAAAAAAAAAAAAAAAAAAAAAAAAAAAAAAAAATCGATCAATGAAGAACAAATCAACATTTTTGACCAAGTTCAGTCGAGGGATGTTATCGCGTGCGTCGAGAATATCTATTATAGTTACCGAGGAGTATTGAAACAAAAAATAAGACGATAAACAAAGGCACCTATCACCCCGGGGGGTGAAAAATCATCCGTATGCGCGATGACACTACTTGGACCGGCATATGTATACATATTATTATACTTACCTCAGACCGCATTTGTATAGGAGCACGGTGTATGTAACGCGGATTCGCCCTCGGGGCATTATTTTCTCTCTTTCTTTTCTCGCGGTGTGCAACGCGTTTACGAGTAAGAAAAAAGAAAAAAAAAAAAAAAAAGACAAAAGAGATTTGTATATCTCGCTCGACTATTTTTCATCTCCCTCGCATGTATACGTAATATATGTTGTACGCGTAGTAGTCGAGACTCGGCGGTGTTTTGTAATTGACGTAATTCTCAAGAGCATCGATCCAACGGTGGATCCATTCTCGCGTAAGGCGGCTCATTTACATGATCCTTTTTTTTTTTTTTTTTTTTTTTTTTTTTTTTTTTTTTTCAATTCACGTCCCATATTAGATAATACATGATTGATGCTTCAGCTGTCGTATACAACCTATAGCTTTTGTCGTCCGGTGCGTTGTGTATAGGTATTTATTTATATGAATTGAATAACGCGATTCTAATGACCGGCTTTCTGGGATTCGCGCTCGGCAATAATGGAAAAAAAAAATAAAAATAAAAATAAAAAGGGATGTAATGTACACGAGTGTATACTTACAAAGGCAAGACTAGCAACAGCAAAGCCAAAAGTCATTCCGATGTGGAGCACCGTGGGCGGGGTGTCCCAGGTGAGGCAGGAGGCGCAGCCGATGATGACCAGGAGACACGTGCCGAGCGTTTCGGCAAAAAGGGGCGCGAGGAAGCTGATCCTCGTCACCTCGTCGAGGCCCACGTAGTCCTTGGCACCTGACGACAACGTCAACGTTTCATTTCATTTTACATTGCTTTATTTTCTCGTAAGGGGTGAAAAGCTATGTTGGCGTTCGCTTGAAAATTTATTTGGATTTATGTGTACAGTTTTTGTACACATAAATAACAACGTATTATACGTTTTTTTTTTCCATAGAACCATCTCTTGGAAAATTGTTACGCTTTTCCAATTGCGTTTTTTGACTCGATACCTCTGTTTTTCGTTGCTAATACAATATCTTGTGCCATCGAGGGAGTGTTTCCCATTTTTTCATAGTTACTATGTATGCAAACAGAATTTTTTTTTTTTCCAATCGTGATCTCATCGATCTTCAGGAAGTTTTGTGCCAAAAACAACGTATTAAGGTGTAATGACATTGAACTTTGCTGACGAACATTTTGACGCGTGAAACACAAAAATTAGCATTCGGAACTACGCAGAAGTTTATACATTGCGAGTAAATTAATCATCAATCGAATGATGCGTATTTTTTCCTTGGGATTTCATACTATAACGTGCAGGTATCCATCGATCATTCGAGCCGTCAATCCTGAAATTTTTATTACACGTCTCTTCGTTCCAAAGTTCCTTCGAAACGTAAATATTATTAAAACGCTATTATTCACTAGCTTTGTATGCTCAGTTTTGCAAAATGATCAAGTAGTAAAAATTGACACCAATGAATGAAAAGCTTTTATTTTTTTTGTTAGCCCGCGTAAAATAAAGGGAAAACTGCTATTCAACCATACACTCATTAGGAGTTATGATGCAATAATTTGTGATAGATTACGAAAAATCCGCGTGGTTTTTTTATACAAATACAATCGTTTTTAGGTAATTTTCGTCATCGAAGCAAACGCCATAAGCAACTCTGTTTGATAGTTTTGTACATGACACTGGCCTCGTGATTAACATCCTCTAAAAATAAAAATCCGTCCATCCTTGCGCTTGGGAGTCAACGCGTTTTACGCCCGATAATCGTCACCGTTTCATCAAAATTTCCGGAAAAAAATCATCAGCACTATCCATCGTAGCGCGGCTCTTTCAATCGAGCATAAAAAAAAAGCACCATCCATAAGCAATCGGATAGCTAAAGTGTCCTACGTAACGCAATAGCCCAACGAGTGCCCACAGGGGGTCCCGGCGCTCATGCCTACTTATTATACGCCGGCAAACTTGTCAATCGCCCCGAACCACGGGCCCCGCAGGTAATGCCTCTGCGCATAGGTACAGGTACACACAGACATACTTGCACTACACTCGCCCACATTCCTCATGTTTTTTTTTTTCCACGGCTAAGTATTTGACTTCTGAACGTCTCATCGTCAAAGCTACCGATTGTTTGGCGGCCAGGAACTGTCGTTTCGGTGCAAATGTGTATTGTCATTTTCACTAACTGCTACTATTGCTGCTGCCACTGTATTTTTATCCATACAGATTTTCGAGAGAATTTTCGTCATTCCCGAATATATGCTACTTTTTCTTTTTACACTACTTTTTTTTTTGTTTCAAATAACAATCGAGCCAAAAATATAAAAAATGTCCCGGGATCTACGTGCGTGCAATTGTTATACAATGGCATGTCTCTTCCTCTAGAATTATCTGCGACATGTGTACTTAAACAACGGGACGTTGCAGCCTTGGCAGGTACAAAATGTGGCCGTTAATGAGTACGAGTAGCAGGTGACGCAAACAAAGTTTACGAAAACAGAAAAAAAAAATGACGATTCGTCACGACGATAAAGTGGCGTGACGAATAAGTTATCGCGCGAGAAAAAGGGGGGGAGGGGAAAAAAAAGAAAAGCAGAGCGGATGATGGTGCCAGGGGGTTAAGGCCGATTTTCTCGGATCCTCGACCGAAATCGCGTCTCGCTAATGACCGATAATCGACGCTGCAACTCTCCGCACGTGTCCCGCGCGCCTATGCATCACAGACACGAATCAACGAATTTCGCAATTTTTTTTTAAACCCTCCTCCATTGAAGATCACGAAACCTCCCGTCCCAAAATGTTTGCCGATTTTCCGAGTAGGTACTCAATGGTGTTTTTCTCACAACGCCGTTGTAATTCACACGTCGAACAAGTGTGTACACAGCCAAAAGAGTCGGGAAACCCATATGTGCACTTGTTATTAACACCGTGTAGCGCACAAAAGCGAGTGCGTGTATATATACAAACACGAGTGAATTTCGCGATAAGATTATAACGCGCGCGAGTCGCGCTTAATTATGCACAGTAGTTTATGTTGCCACCATACGAGCAGAGCACAGATGGGAGATAAGATAAGCCGCCCCGCGCACGTAACATTGTTTAAACATTTTGTTAAACACTTGCGATTTTTTTTTTAATTTTTTTTTTTTTCATGCAATGTGTACACTGTATTCGTAGTAGCGCGTTTTTGTACGCGGCTAGATAAGGTCTTGCAGTTTTGAAAATAGCTACCGTTTGACAATTGGATCGCTAGGGTATTGTGCTATCGATTTCATTCGAAATACACGCACACGTCGGTTATACCGATACGTCCCATTTGACTGACGTAATCACTCGAGCGTGAAAATTACGTCGTAAGTCAGAGTTTATTGCCCCAATTTGTTCGGCTTGTCATTTTTGATATGATTTCTGTGAGGGCCAGGCATTGTTTGTACCATAAGGCTTTAACAAAAAGTAATATCCATCTATCTTTCGCGGTGGCGTACAATTACTTTTTTAATCAGCAAACTAATGGACGTCAACGTTTCCGCCCGTAATAACACAAGTACAGTGTACACACGTAATCGGTAACATCATACCGATGGGGCAAGTATTAATGGTATATGACAAAGGAAAAAGGAAAAAATAGTAAAGCCAAAACCAACCCTGCCACGTTTTGCTCATGTTCCCTCGGTCCGGTGTTTCAGCAGGGAGGCGACGGCCGATGAGGCTCAGTGAAACCAAATGCCCGCGTTTTCAAAAAGCCACTCCCGATCACGTACAAACAGCCAACTTTGAAGAGAAAATCCGAAAAATGAAAAAGAAAAAAAAATCAAACCCACGCACGAGAAGTAGAACCAGCCAACTGTGGTCAGACCAAGGAACGGACAGACGCACTCGGCCAGAGACAGGTAGGTATGGGGTACATGGGTACGACAGTGAGGACACGCACAAGCTACACACACACGGGGTGGATTTATATATATATATATATATATTTGACAATCGGAGCGATAGGGCAGGCGGATGACTATTGGCGCGCGCGGCGACCGGCTTTCGCGTTATATATCCCTCTCCGCATTCGGCCCCTTTTTCCCTCTCGCGCGCGTCTCACGAGCGCTTGCAGGTTGCGCGCGTTAATGCTCCCCCACCTGTTTGCCGGGCCGGCAGGTATTGTAAGTATATATTTATTATGTAGGTGTCGTAGAGAGAGAGAGAGAGAGAGAGATTCACGAGCGCCAAGGACTAGCGTTTGGACTATAATTCGGCGATCGGTTGTTTTATTTTTTATTTTTAATCTTTTTTTTTTCATTTTGGCGACCTGCGGTGGACATACACGTTTAATTATTAATTCATGCAATTTTGAGGAGACGCGCAGTGTTATTTCCTGCTGAACCACAGGGTCGAGGTGACTCTCGGACGTTATTGGGCATTTGATTTGGTGTTTGGAGTCGATTTCAGCGAGCCACAATTATTCAAGTGTGGGGGAAATAAAAGCAGAGCTTGAAATTTGGAAAACAGGTTGGATGAAGAAAAAACAAAATAAGAGACACTTTTCAGCCGTACAAGTTCTCACTGAATCTGAAAAAAAAAAAAAAAAAAAAAAAGAAAAACGAGGAGTCGATACGTTACATTACGCGAGCGCTGAAAAAGCCTAGGTTGGTTCACGAGACCTACTAGGTACGTCAAAACAAATTTACTTTCGTTCCACCGAGAGGTTTGTGTATATTTGTATACACATATGCCGTACGAAATTTTGCGCGTGCGGACGAAAAAAAAAAAAAAAAAAAAAAAAGAAAAAAAGAAAGAAAGAGAGAGACCTCGAGCTCCTCCTCCTCCTTGACCTCGGCGTCGGCATCCATTTTGGCGCTGCCCGCGTCGTTCTCGGTACCGAGAGGAGAGCCGGGAGTGGGGCACTAAAGTAACGCGCATGCACATCAGAGAAAAAAAAAAAAAAAAAAAAAGAAAAAAAGAAAGAAAGAGAGAGAGAAAGGGGTTTTATGTATTTGGTATAAATATACATATCGAGGTGGGGAATTTGAAGTGCCATGCCGAGGAGGGGAGCACGAGAGTGACTCAACTCAGATTTTTCTTCTTTTTTTTTCATTATAATGCGTATATATATACTCTGGATGGATCAAAATGAGAGAAGGAGGAGGAGAGACTTGTATCTCCACGAATGATGTAATGAATCGCTCTTTGATGGACTTGGCTCCTCGCGAATGAATGAAACCGACAATTAAGTGCTTTAAATAACTCGTTTATCGAAATCGTTTGATGAACGAGGAGATACAGAGACTTATTTGTAGAGTCAAAAAAAAAAAAAAAAAAAAAAGGATTGATTGGCAATTATTCTGCAATAAAGCGATTGATAAATGGGAAATAAAAATCCGACGATCCAAATCTCAGTGCACCGCCGTATAACTGTGGGCTTCCTCATAGTTCGAGTTATGCGCTTCCGCTCTTTGTGTTTTTCCATCGCCAACGTTCAACCGCGAAATGACGGCATGTTTAAGTACCTGGCGTTAGTTGGTAATTTTCATGCTACCAGTATTCAACCATTTTTTTTGTTTTGTTTTTTTTTCATTATTTTCTAGTTAATAAGTGGTAGCACGCGAAAATGCTTTGTCTACATTCTCGAACGAAAATATATATGTCCCTCTTGATTGAAAACACAACCGTTGCTCTTTGAATAGTAATTTCGCAAATAGATTTTGCGCAATTTTTTTCCTCATTTTCAAGTCAAAGCTCGGAATGTGAGAAAATAAAAATCAAAAACTTCTTTGGGTAGAAAAAAAGAAAAAACCTAATATGCGCGCACCACATCTTACGTCAGGATGTTCAGTGCCGATCTATCATTACAGTGCAGTTGAATTGATTTCTTTTTTTTTTTTTTTTTTTTTTTTCACGAATCAGGAAAAAAGGTAACTCCAATCAAACAATTTCCGCCGTGATGATTCCTCTTTGAGAACCAAATCGATCAGCTTGCAATGAGGATTTTCGCGGCTAGTTTTCCATTATTTTTATTTTTCCTCCACGTTGTTTTTCATTTCCTTGGCGCGCGCAACCTGACGAAAATTACTGTCACGTGTTATCACACACGTAGCTCTTCCTCTGGTCGTTGGCTGGATCTCAAGATCTGAGAGCCAAGATTTCACCACTTCCTCACTGATGCTTATACGTATACTCGTTGTATTATTATTTATACTTGGCATAAACGAGACGTAATCCATTGTGTCGAGCGAACGCGACGATGAGTTTTCAGTAGCGAAAAAGAAAAATGAACCATCGAGAGGATGACAAAAGAGCTTGCGTGTCCTTGCACCTCGTTGCGCTAGCCGATGCATCATCTTATTCACGCTCGGTTACGTGCATTTTTACATTGTACCAGTTGCTTGTTGTTCAACATTTTCGTGAATAATGCGTGTGTATTTGCGAAAACATGAAAAACATCCTCTCGGTGTAGTAGTAGGTAAGTAGAGCCATTTACGAGCTGGTATACACGTTGAGAGAGGAATAAAATTATTTAAAAAATCACTGTGCTGTAGTACTATGAAATTGTACACAGTTTTCCGTCTTTTAGAGTCTCCATGAGGAGCAGATGATACTACATCTCGATGGTCCCTGTAAGAAAAATCTGGGTACAAAAGAAATTTCTCGTGCACAATATCTTCGGCGAAACCGCGTATCAAGCTCCGCTTGTATCGTCCAAGGACCCAATGCGGCTGAGTAATATATAATGTATATATATAAATGATCGGCAATCTCGTACGTTTATTGGACGCGCGTATTTGTACCCTCAAGTCGTGTCAAACGGACCTCCAAAACCTTTTGTCATCGACAGTCGCATAAACACGATGTGTCGTTACAAATATAGTTGAGAGCAATACCGATGATCTCTCAAATTAACCGTATACAACTTACCGATACGTACGATCGCGTGCCCAAAAAATTATTTGATTGACTATAAAGTAGTACGTTTACCGTTGCTCCTCAAAGTGATACAAATATTGTGAAATTACAATTATCGTCGAATCACATAATATTAAACAGAAGCCCGTAGTGACGTTTCGTCTCTGGTCGTGTAATGATAATATTGGTACACTCACAATTAGTGATTGTGGCGAACGGCCCTGAAAAACGAGCAGTTAGCAGAAACAGCTGGGAGATCGCGAGTATATACTGACCGACTTTCAATCATTGCCGGCACTCCTAGGATAATTCTTTCCTCCCCTTTGATTCCCGATCGATCGGTCGTTTACTTTTTCTCTCTCTCTCTCTCTCTCCATCTCTCGTTCGTGCGCGTAATTAAATGCCGCTTTAATTGGAACGCGCGGCTCTGCTTGGGAATATACCATAGTTTGGGACCGTATTTGCACTTGCACCTACATGTATACACATGGGTATGGACGCGTCATGAGTTTTGCGCTCATTTTTGTAAAAAAAAAAAAAAAATCGGACAGATCGTTTCGGTTTTTTTTGTTTTTGTTTTTTGTTTTTGCACGATCGGCTGTATAGTTGACTGATTTTCGTGCTTGAATATCATCATCACTTTAGTATGTAAACGCCTCTCGTTACTTAAAGAAATCTTATGAAAACAAAAAAAAAATCGCTACCAGCACCTAGATCGTTACGATTTTCTCTGTAAACGCATCCAAGTGTGCCTCGAGCAAAAAAAAGCAGCCCCAAGCAGGTGCTGCTAATGAGAACATCGTCATCATCGCCGTCAACGACTACGACAATATACAATCCTTCTGTGTACAGCTATACTCGACTGGAGCCACCGATGTTTGAACGAGCGACGCGTGTCCTCGATATTTTTTTTTTTCTCTTCTTTTCTTTTTTTCATCTCCCGTGTATACGCACGTACACACATGTGGATCGACTCATCGGAGGGCCACTGAGGTATTTTAATAACCCAAACATTGTGTTGTACAGTCGCGGGAGAAGAGCGTAAAAATAGACACACGGTGCCCGTTTCACATCACCTTTATCGCAGCTTGTCATCAGCTCGTCAAAGAAAATCGGTTTCGTACGAAAAAAAAAAAAAAAAAAAAAAAAAAAAAAAAAAAAAACAATAACCAATCCTATAGTTGAAATCGATCGAAATAGAAAGCTAGTTTCGAAGTTTCCACTCATTTTTCAACGACAAGTGCAACCGATTTTTTCCCGGGCGCATACCGATATGGCGCAACGCGTATTTTTTTTCAGCCCCATTTCTTATATACTCAATGCTACATTCGGCTGGCTTTTTTTTTACTCCCCACCCTTTTTTTATTTCCACAGACTTTTCTTTTTTTTTTTTTTTTTTCAATGCACAAGCGATCTTATAATTGGACGGCCCGGGGGCCTTTCGTCAAATATTTGATTTTAGCGCAAGTAAGTATCATGAGCATATAATTGGATCGCAAACAGAGAGAGAGAGACCCGCGTTATTTTTACAAGCGCCAGTCATGATTACTCGGCTTTTCGTTGTATTGCGTTGCAATTAATATTGATAGTCTAAATAATACAAAGAACTAAAATGACTATTATGTTTGCCAATGTGAAACAGCTTTTTTTTTCATAAGTACATCCATGTATTTGTGGTAACGCAGTGAAATATTTGCTATATTTAACTTGTGCGTTGTAAAAATACAAAATCTACAACTTATCCACAAACGACAACGCACATTTACCAACTGGACTTCCGGACTGATCGTCATATAAAATAAATTTCAACTCCTTCATACTCTCCGTGAAGCTGAAAAGGTTTTTGTTATGTTCACACTTATGGTGGAGTATCGATTTATCGTTTGTGCGCATATATATTAAACATAGATCTAAGCTTCATACCTGTTTATCCCCGGACTTTGTGCTGTTTCGAACTCGTTTGTGCACGATGTTTAGCATGTAGGATTTCGTTGTATATTATGAAAAAAAAAAAAAAAAAAAAAAAAAAATCAAAGACCAACCGATAGTACATAGGTACTATGGTGGATCACCTGAACTCGCAATGACGTGCGCGGAGAGGGGATCGTTAAAAAATGTATACGCTCTTCCCCGCACATGCAGTAGAATCCGTACTTTGAGCGAAATCGAGTATGCAAATGACGTTTAATACCCACTGGTTAGGCATAATATCCAAGAGAGACCCGCGATGATCGACGCGAGTAACATTTACGTCTACATTTGCGCGTAAGTATCTGGAATCGTTTGTAATAACGATCGGACGAAAAAACAACATCGCAAAATACACTCGGAACGAACAGAGAGAACACGGGCGTAGAGTGCCAGTGCGGATATACCTGTAAGTATGGACGACGTGCTGAAAGGGCCGTATTACGCTCGCAGTAGAAGATACTTGATACTGTACGGCCAGTGGCCCTATCAGGATCTGGGAATCGTGATTTTTTGTCAAATCCTCATGATGCTCGGCACCTTGTCTTCTTTCGTCCCGCACGTAAGTATACAGCCAGCTTATTTTTTTTAAACGTCTTACGTGTATTGGACTGAATTTTATATATTTTATGGATTCAAAAAATACCGTACAGGAAGTTTTTCCTTTCCCAATACAGTGTGTGGAAAGGCTCGTTGCTGAAACAATTTTTCATCCCTCACTTTTATTCACCGTTCAATTTTTAGAATATTTTCCTTTTTTTTTTTTTTTTTTCAAACAAGTGCAATACACAATTTACAAATTGTATTGCGCATTTTTCTGGCTGGAATATATAAATTTCGTCAATCAATGTACTGTAAGGAAAAAAAACATAATTTCAGAGCATCAAATACACATATATTGAAAGAAGAAGAAGAAGAAAAAAAAAAAAAAATTAAATCAATATATCCACAGCTGAAATTCCAGTGTAAAAATGAAACGAATTTCAGTGCATCAACGTTTACGAGGCGCTCGATGATTTCCAGTACGTCGTAAAGGGCACGCCGAGCCTGCTGTTCTACGTACAACTGTACGCCAAAAATTTGTTTGGCTTCATAAGCCGGCGAAAGGTTTGCGATTTATTTTATTTTTCCCCCCATCACTAATTCACCGTAAAACGCCTATACAGCGACGGAAAATGCGGGATGAAAAATGTTTGCAGATAAAAAAAGTTCTGGACGGGATACAGCGGGACTTTCGAGTACACGCCGCCGACGAGCTCGAAGTGCTCGACTCGTACTCCAGAACGGCCAGCAGGTTCAACTACTTCTACGCGGGTACACCTATTTATACTAAAGTCACTCCGGATCCACCGGCGACAAAGGCGCGTGTAAAAAAAAAAAAAAAAAAAAAAATTACCCCCCTTTTTGCTCCCTGCAGCGTGCATGTTCGGCGTGGCTTGGTCGTTCAGCACCCTACCCCTGGTACTTCACCTCATGGACGTGCTCGTACCCCTGAACGAGACGCGGTTGCAGCAAAAACCACGGCCCATGACCTACCACATCGGCGCACTCGACGACAACATGCCGGTCATCATACTGCACAGCTACTTTGCCGATGTACTCTCGATGATATTGATAGTCGGCCTCGACACGCTCTACCTCAGCTTGGCCTACCACGCCTGTGCCCTGTTTGTCATCGTCGCGTGAGCTCAACACCATAATATACATATATATGTATACGTACCCCCTCCCCCCCCTTTTTTTGTTGTTGCAAAAGTCGAGTGTGCACTTATTTCGGTAGAAAAAGGGCTCGCGGTGCCATCGACCGCCGGGGAGAAGGTGTTGGCCCGTCGGACGGAAGATCGGGGGATCGGGACGCGCACTACCCCAACTGCGTGAAAACCGTCGTCGCGCACCAGTACGCCTTGGAGTAGGTATACGATTGGCGCGCGATTCCCTGCTGATTAAAAACCCTCGCTTTCTTCGTACCAACAGATTCGTGGGTACGATCGAGCTGGCCTTTTCGTCCCTCAACCTGATAAGCATTGGCTGTTCTGTGGTGCCGTTGGCTTTCGTGGCTTTCACGGTATACATATAGGTGGAATATTTTGTTTCTTCGCCACTGGTATAATACATGAAATCACACCCCCCCCCCCCACGTGACAGGTCTTGGTGAGCAAGGACAGCCCCGACGAGAGGATACGTTACTTTTTGTACGCTTTCGCCGAGGTCGTGCACCTGTTCTACTACAACTGGCCGGGGGAGAAAATTCGGGAGCACAGCTTGCTCGTCTACAAAGTTTGGTTGGTATGTTCATTTATTTATTGCCTGTGCGCAAACGTGATTTTCTATCATTTCGTTTCAGTTACGATGGCAATTGGTACGAGGAGGAATTTGGCCTCAAGTGCCAAAAATTGATCAATCTCGTGATGATCAGGAGCCAGAGGCCGTGTATCATAACCGCGGGGAAGATGTACGAGCTCGGGTTGAAGAATTTTGCCGCTGTACGAGATACGTCGTATTATATCATCCGATATGCACAAATTTTTTTTTTTTTTTCATATAGTCACGGTGTGTATTGTTTTATTCATATGCTTTGAATTGTTTGTTTCTTTCTTCTTTTTTCAGGTAGTTAAAGTGGCCATGTCCTATCTCACGGTTTTATCATCGATAATGTAAAGTTTCGGTAGCATGTTCAAAAGTACATTATAGGTATAACATTGCGGTTGTATTAAATGTAATTTCGTGTATACCCGCACGTAGCAACCAAGTATAGAAAACGATACGACAACCGATTATACTCGAGCACTACTTACTTTACATCCATGTATTTTTGTTCTACACAGTCCACATCAAGGCTGTTACGCGTGGATCGTTGGAGAAAAACGCTCAAATTGGTTATAAGTAAACATTGTAAGCCAACGTGTGTAAACTAAAATAAATTTTACACGAAGCGGCTATAAGCTGCAATTTACGAGAAACGTATCCATTTAATGGTGCACTTATATGCATAAGTTGTGTAAGTATACGGAAATAAATGCACATCAAAATGGGGAGTGAGGAAAGGCCAAATTGCACACTGCTATTAATGGTTTTTTTTTTTTTTTTTTTTTGCTTATCAAACATGCTAATACCGTAATTCTCTTTTCTTCCGCATTATCTTTTTGTTAACATCTCTGAGAATAATCAGATAATCAATTTTTACAAATTAACGATCGACACGGTTGTTTTTACCATCAAGTTTCTCTAAAGTACAAAATCATTTCATCACGTGTACAATTATAGAGTCAATCAAACGTTGCCAAATTTTGAATGTCATATCACATATATTAAGGTACTGTCAAACAATTCACGACATATTATGCTTTAAAAATTTTTTGGATCCAGTATCACAGTGCAATTTAAAACAAAGTTTGAAACAAAGTACCAATGAAGAGTCACGTCTAGATCACGATAAATCCAGTTATTATTATTATTATTCTTATTGTTTTTGTTTTTCATGCAAAAAACTTTTTCTCTTTATTACCTTCTCTGAGGATTGTTTATACAACTTATTATCTCGTCACATCGTCACACCATACTATTATTTCCGTCCGCAACTATCAACTCCACCGATTGTCATAGATAAATAATGTACTTTATTCGAAAAACAGCGGTTAGTCCATCTACGCTATATCTACGTATTGGAGAAGAGACCCCTTTCAGCTTTTATATCTATACATTGCACCGCCATTCGTAAATCCTTGTGCACTAACAGTGATGATTAGCAATCGATGTAGAGATATCGTTTTATTTCGATCGGAGTTTATTTACGTTTCCACAGAGATAACAGTAGGTAAAAAAATTAAGTAATTAACAAAAATAAATACGAGTGACTTTTTAAAGCTCATTTTGATTAATATCGAACCAATTGTACAAACATTTTTTTGCATCAGTTACGCCGCATGGGGTATTTCTCCGAGTTGCCAACGTGGCCCTACCACTCGATCCACACTTATGTAACCGTAACCAACACTTGCAATTATGGTGAATTAAAGAAAATGTGCTTTTTGTTGTTGTATCGAAACGTCTCATTGTTAGTTGAAAAATGATTATAGTACCCCATTTGGTTGGGTATAAATTTTGTACAAATGAAACAACGATGCGATACTTCTCACCGTAGAGTTGTTGTTTTTTTTTTTTTTTTTTTTTTATAAGGTTGGGCAATGCGGTGCAGCTCTTCGTTTGGCCTTGTGCGGGTCCGAAGCCACAAACTATTCCTAATAAAATCATCTTTAGAAAAAAAGTAACTATAGGTATACACAACTGGCATCATATACTTCTTTGCTTAAACGGCGGTGTTACATTGCTCGGTGATACTTATGCACCGCTGAGATTTCTGGGAAAAAGTCGATTGTTCCGTCATTACTGGGAGGAAAATGCCAGATGCATGAGAGAGAAGATCTTCAAGACTCGCATCAATCGAATGATCTAATGTTGTTCCGCAATACCGAGCGATTGGGTCGACTGTTGTGTTTTTGTGCCTATTTGTTTGTACTGACGATAAATTTATGCAATGTGCAACAATTTTGCGCTGCACTTTTTTTTCTCATATATAAATAATGTCTTAACTCATTGACGCGTCAGATCATCGTTAATTCGTGCGGATGCAGGTGTAACTGCGTACGGGATGGATAAATTAACAAAGTAAAATACGAATGATGGAAGGAAAAAAAAGTACCTATTAGCACACGTAAAAAAAATGTAAACACGGGAGAAAAACTCTCTTGTTTTACCACCTTGAGTTGACTACGGAATTATTCATAACTATATTGTAACAATCGTTAGTATGCCCAAGTGTGTTAAGCAGTAAATTGTTCCGTATTTGGTAGACCGGAAAAAACGTGGGAGAAACCCGTGTTACTCGCGGCTGATGGGATTATTTTCCTTCCCATTGTTTAGCTATTTTCCATGTAATTAACGCCTCAGATGGTTTGATACTGAGCAACGACATTAGCACCAAATTTGTCACTTGCAACGTCAAATGATAAATTTGCGTATTTTTGACAAAAAGTATACAATCATGATTGACCGACCATCACTTCAAACGATAAAATTATGAAATACGAGCGAGGTGACATGTAATGAATAAAAAAACTCACCGTCGTCATCGTCTTCCTCGTGTTCCTCGTAATTTTCGTTGTTGGGGCGGTTCTGTGTCCTATTATTTTCGGTGTGCGCCGGGTAACCTTCGGGAAATACCGTCGAGGCGTTCATGTTTGCCGAAAAATTGTACCTCTGATGAACATAAATGAAAAAAAATATTACTTGAGTTGGACGTGCTTCATTGATTTGTTCCATATAGCTCTGATGTTTTGCGAATACGTTCATCGAAGCTATCGTATTGTTTCCATGCGCAATACATAACTTTCTTAGCTAATCTTTTAAAGTTGATTGAATTTTTTCTGGAGCTTAAGTTGAGAAAAAAAAAAAAAATTAAAGCAAAAAAGTACGGTAATGATTATTAATTAGACTACATTGTCAACGAGCAATTTAGATCGTTACTAGAGATGGAAAGACTACACGGGCGTGGAATGTAGTGCAAACAGTTTCATGATCACGCATAGTTAAAAAAAAAAAAAGAAGATTTTTAACGCAATCAATAAAAACTCATGAAATCAGGTACTTTCGTCAACTCAGAAGTGATCGGAAAAAAGGGGGAAAAAAAAACCAATGATAATTAATTCAACTGGTAACGCCAGCTCTAATTTTGATTTGCAAGGCCGAGAGCACCCTCCATTTCGTGCAACATAAGATAAAGATCGATTAAATCCAAATGTTGAACAAAGTTTCACGGTCAAAAAATTGAAGGGAAAAAAAAAAAAAATTCAAATAACGAATGAAAATTGTTTAAAGTTCTTTGGCGTGTGCTCTATCCGTACGATGAACAATGTACATTGCCTACGAAAATAATTAAACGATATATTAATTCAAAAGCACCGAGCACTCCTTACCTTATCCTCAAATCGAACCAGCCTTCATTATAATATCTATGTTTACACGTACTAGACACTTATATTCCCAAAAAAGCCCCCCCAAAATGCCGCATCGGGTCATTGTCACGTCCTTCGGGCAGTATATTCGTCCACCGCCGGCACTACCCCTCCACGCGTAGCCAACGAAAAAATTGCACCATAAGCCAATTTCGCAAAACCCGTTCCACAAGCAGTATCCGCAAAAAAAACCGAATCGGCAAAAACGTGCGAACCTCGCGGTAACAATCCCCACCGGTGGGACGTCGCGTCCTAGTAACCCCGACAAAAGTGTACCCAGGTGTGTTCCCCGGGGTAAAAGCCGCGTCCCTCGTGGACAGCCAGCCAACGACTGGTCATATCGGCATCAACCGAAATCGGATCGGAAGTCGAGCGGCCCGTGCATATCTGCGCCCACCTCCTCTTTCGCTCGGCTAGATCTCGCTTGTATGAGGCGAGGACCTCGTTGCTACTGCTGCTGCTGGTGGTGGTAGGGCTGCAAAAAGACCTTGACACCTCACACGGTCGACCATCCGATGCACACCCACCCCTCTCCGATGCAGGGGAGGGACGGGGTGGCTGATTGTTCGGATGCTAATAACTCCGAGTGTTTTACAGTCGAGGCCTTTTTTTTTTTTTATCGTGACTATCCTACACGTGAAACTGCCTACGTGTATACACGTGTACCGGGTCGGCGCAGGGTATTGGTCGATCGGCGCATGACAGAGCGCAAGCTCTTTGAGTTCTCGCCTTGAAAACGATGACGAAGGGAGCGAGTTTCGGAGCCCGCAACCTTGCAAAAAAAAAAAAAATAAATAAAGAATTGGGATTCTCTTCGAGTTGGGAGGTTTTACACGGGGACCGGTTCATCACGCGCGGTTGTCAAATTCGAGCCGATCTCCTCCTCGTTGGGTGTATGTATACATACGTGTACACATTCGTTCGGGAACATTGGTGCCAGGTCGGGGGGCTTATCGCGTCCCCACAAAAACCAAAGCAAGGGGCTCGCGTGACAGATGTGTAGGGCCTCGTGGGGCGACAATTACCATACTCCCCTCCCCGCGATCCCTCATCCGTATCTTCGATCGCAACGGCCCCTAAAATATATATATGTGTGTGTGTATATACGCCGCGCGGGACAAACGGGCATCGCCAAGACTCCCCGGTGAATTGTTCTTTTCGATCGGCTTGTGACTCTCTTTTACTTCCGAAGCACGTGGCGTGCGCTACATCATTAGGTGTACACACGACCGTCGTTGGGCTCTAATTATTGTGCACTCATCCCCCGACGGTATAGGTTAAAGAGGAGGAGGAGGTCGAAGGTCGTGGGTGCATTAATAACGATTCCTAGGAGTGGGGGTTGTAAGTAATCATTTCGCCAAGTGGCCAGTATGATAATGCGTATCGTCCTCGAGGAGTGCATCGCGACCCATCACCGCAGGGTATATAGGCAGTGCTGTGCCATTGGATTCTCATTACAGGGTACCTTTGTTTTTTTTTTTTTTTTTTTTTTTTTTTTTTTTTTTTTNATAATGCGTATCGTCCTCGAGGAGTGCATCGCGACCCATCACCGCAGGGTATATAGGCAGTGCTGTGCCATTGGATTCTCATTACAGGGTACCTTTGTTTTTTTTTTTTTTTTTTTTTTTTAACCGTAGGCGACCGAAT